AGTGAAACATACTAGATGAACTCTGTAAGAATATTAACAGGAACAGTTAATGCTTAATTTTTTTATCAATTTTGCATGCCTATATCTGGTAATCTGAACAGCTACTTTGAAGATAACAATATGCAATATAACAACCATTGTTGATTTCCTATCATTCTCTTTTGAAATTTTGTATCATTTTTAATGTTTTTTTAAAATTTTGTATTCTCTTTAAAATAAAATAAAATAAAGAAAAAAAGAGAATATGCACCAGTTTGCCTACTCAGGACCTGCAGTGATTTTAGTTTTTCCAGCCTGCTTTTCTGTGTCTTCTAATTGCAATAGCATGTGTTACCTTTGAAACTAAAATAAGTTAACAAGAAAGGTGGAATTTAGGAGAGACTCAGTAATGGAAGCAGAAGAGAGCATTTTTATTAAGTGCACTTTAGAATGTTTGATTTTATATTATAGCAGATGAAAGAGGAGATATAAGTAGAAACAGGAGAGAAATGAAGCTGTGGTTTAAGCTAAAGAAATTATAGTAGATCCCAAGCCAAAGGTTTTATCAGCTGTCTTCACTTGGCCCAGTAGGTCTAGATGTGAGTTTTTACTTGTTATCCTTTCCCTGTGAAATTATAATTATTCTGTAGTCGCATCTCTTAATTGCTGTTTATCCTTTTACTGCCAAAGCTGCTTCTAGAGTGGATTATCTACTTTTATCAAGAATACTGTAATCTGAGTAGCTAGGGCTATGGTCTGAGGCCTGTTACTTTGAAACTGAGTAAAACCTAAAGAATCTACATAGACACATTTATTGCCATAAGATTCTGTGACTTGCTTTCTTTGGCATTACATTCCCCTTCTTAGTGTTCTTAGAGTATGAATTCTTCCAGTCAGAATTCTGTCTACCCCAATATATTATGTGTCCATGTTTCTTAATGATAATTTTTTTAAAGCAAATTAAACTGTGAATAGGAAGATGGAAAGGGGAAAGTCTGTTGCTTTATGAATTTGTACCCAGATATCTGTTAATCTTGTAGGCATTGTCGAGTACCAGTAGAATTAGATTAAATGTGAATTATATCCTCTATCATGAAATCTTATTCCAGATAAAGCTAGCAAAAGGAGATGGTGACTTTTCCACTGCGCTGCCCCTTAAGAAATACCACTTAGAGATAGCCATTTACATGGCTCTGCCCCACATTCTAGACTGGGATCATTCCTGGCCTTTTTCTTACACCATCAGAACTACTTCTTGTGTGCTGTTCCCACAGTAAGGTGGCTAAGTCAGTTAATGAGCCAACTAGGGCATGTGTGATTTATTTAGTGTTACATCTTCCCAGTTCCAGAACCTACATTTTTAAAAGTTTTATTGTACTTATTGTGGGGCCTTGTATTTAATGGGAGCCTCTTGCCGTACAAATAGTTTAGCTAAGTGGACACCCCAAAACAGAAGATACTTTGTGAGAGGGAACCCCTTCAGCTCCCTTCAGGTAGCTCCAGCCATGCAGCTTCCTTGTCCCAGGTGCGTGCAGGAATCCAGTATGCCAGAGCCCCATGGACAGAGTGAAAGCTGTTTCTTGACTTTTCTGTGAAATCACAGTCTCTCGTTCTTAACCCACAAGTTGTGATGCAAACCACAGTGGAAAGTAAAGTTGCTAAAGTTCAGAAATTTCTCTTATTTCCTTATCCTTCTTTTAATCATGAGCCACTTGGTGGTTTCTTACGATAAAAACAAATGAAACTTGCTTGCACTTGAAAATTGAATATTCCAATAAGCAATAGAAGGCAGTAGAAAAGGGATCTATTCTGTTCTCCTTTTATACTCTGAGATTATAAAGGAAACATTATTCCTCAAAATAATTTAGTAAATGCATTGCAGTGAGAGCTTATATACTATTCATTTTCAAGTTTTGAGGTTTTAGACAAGGGGCTAGGCTCAAAACTTCTATGAGTTGTTTTCCCACTTGCAAAAGTGAAAAAATAACATCTCATGAAATCATGAAGTGAAATGACATCAACATGAAGCATACCTGGAGCAGTGCCAAGAATATAAGTAGGAACTCAATAAATATAATCTCCTTTCTTGTTTCTTATAACATAGCCTACTAAATGGTTGAGAAGATTAGGAATGGTTTCATGGAAAATAATGTTTCAATGAGTCCTTCAAGATAAAGCCTGAGTAGAATGGGGTAACAGATGAGAGAAACATGTTTAAGCAGTGTTTGAGTGTTAAATGTAGCAGATAGGTCTTCTTGAAAGGGTTAGCGCAGGCATGTCCAGTCGCCAGTTGCCTCCCTAGTTCTTTAGTGTTATAGTAACAAATACCAAACGTGAAAGATGTTTTGTTACTTGTATACATTAACTATATTATATAGTTAATATTCTCCAAGATAGTTCCCCTTCATTCACTGTGGCCCAGGCAAGCTAAAAGCTTAGACATGCCTGGACTAGAGACTCAAAGCAGAGAGAACTCTTCAGTGCTTCTTGCTTAAGTCTAGGCACAATACAGGGAAGGAGTGAGTTTTGGAAACATCAAAGACAAACAGCAGAGTTACTGACCGACAGCTGACCAGATTCAGGGGTGGCTGATTTGATGCTGTCGCAAGGACCCCTGAGCTTGGTGGAAGAATGGGAACTGAGTGTAACCATACCAGGTGTGGTACCACATGCCTGTAATCCTAGCACTCTGAGGGGCCTACGCAAGAGGATGGCAAGTTTAGGCCCAGCCTGGGCAACCTAGTGACATAGGGAGACTCTGTCTCAATATAAAAAATAAAAAGGACTAAGTATGTAGACTAGTGCAAAGGTCCTACATTCAATCCCCAGTACCACCCTCCCCCAAAAAGGAGGAGAAACAAAAAACAGGAGAAGAGCAGGCATCATGAGAGGAGGATCACTAGTTACCGTTGTGCTGCCGGTTATCCTACAGAAAGGGAGGTTAGGGATCAAGCAGTAACCTTGACAGAAATACTCAGGTAAGGAGGAAGAAGAGGCTGACTCAGCCCTCAGAAGTGTGTCCAGAAAAGGAGAATGAGATTCACACCGGACAGTACTGGGCTGCACAGGCCAAGAGAGGTACAGCTGGCATAGATGCAGAAGTGAGGACTAACAGCACTTGAAGCAGAGATCAAAGAGAGGCAAGAGCAGAAGAGGAGTGGCAAGGATTGAGCGTCAGTGCTGCCAACAGTTTTTTTTCTCTTTCCCTGTTCCCACACCTCTTTGTCCTTCCATCTCCCTTATCATTAAATGCTGAAGGCAGAACCAGGGCATCGAAGGCCATCCCTGTATCTTCTCCTAAATACCCTTCTGGTTGATTGACAAAAGGCCCTCAACTCTGAGACTTCAGATAGAGTCTCTTAATCTCTATGTTTTCAGTCCCCTTATTCTAAATTGGAGTCAGACCAACATTTACGCCTGCTTTTGGAAAGATACCTGGCAGGGATGCAATGTGAGAATACTTTCCATTGAAAACTTGTACAGGTGTAAGAGAGTGCCAGTAAATACCAGGCATAAAAGCTAGGTAGAGAAATGCTTGCTAAAAGGTAGTCTTTAAATCACTTGGTTTTTTTAATTATTTGTGAATTTTTCAAAACATTTTGTAAGCTTAGTGATCTGGGTTAATATTGTAAATACTCAGAATCTCTACAGGCGATTGAAGGTACCTGTGCACCATTATGCCTTTTGGATATAATGGTTATTTGAACCTTAAATTATCTTTACTTTCATGCCTACTTAGTAATCATTTGGCTACATGATTACACGTTGAAAATGGGGAAAATTACCAAAGGACAAAGGTGGCTATGACCATTAGTTTCTCCAGACACATATATTTCAACTGATTTCAATGCATAAAAGATAAGTCTACAATATTCAGAATGCTTTAAAATGTTGTATACGTACTTGTATTTCCTAAGGCTTTTAAAACTCAGTCTCAAAATGAATCACAAGAAAAGTGTACAGGAGCAAATGTGGAATTTTTAAAAGTTAATTTGAAGGGAATTTGAGTTCTGTAGTTTACCATGTATAAATGAGGAAACTTGAGTCTCATATACATGAAGTAAGTTAAGTATAGCTCCTAAAGTTTTACCTTGACTTTTAGGAAAAGTTTTTGAAATTTTTTCAAAGATGCCTCCCTCCTGTAATTTTTGGAAGACAGGAATAGATAACAGTGCTTTTCCTCCAGGTCTGCTCTGTGAGAGGTCATGAGTTGAGTGCATATATTTAAAGTATACCATTACTTCATTCTCTGTAGCAGTGCACTACATTCTAATGTTCTGCATGTTTTCCATCTCCTCCCACTTCTGAGGCACATTAAGGCGTCTGAGCGCATTTCTAATAGATGCCCTCATAAAATTAATGATTAATCCCTTACCCATTGTTGTCCCATCAGTTGTCCATCTTTTGCACACGTGTTCATGCACACAGCTTAGTATACTGTACAGTTACTGTTACTGAGTTAGAAATTGCATTAAGAAATATATCTATAAGTAATGATAAAAGCCTTTCATTTAAAAAAAAAACTTTTATATTATTGTGTTAAACCATACAAGTGTGCACGTCCACCCTTCCATGATCACATCCTACAGCCATGCAGCGCTGTCTGTAGAACCAAAATGAATAAAAAATGCAGGCAGCTTTTCCACCATTTTAAAAAAAGCTATGCGGGTTATAGAACTTTAATAATTCTTCAGCCTTGTATTTGGCTTTGCATTTGATCACAGATACTGTGATACAGGAAGGAAGTGTTTTTTATAAAGTTCATCTGCCTTGTTTTTGTCCCAAGATTATCAGGTAAGTGCCTGTTCTTCAAAGCTAAACATCAAACTAACCCAAGGACCCAAAGGGGAATATGGGCCGTGTCCTTTTTTTAGGTTAATTTTTTTAGAATTCCCATTGCCTGCCCCTTAGTAAAGAATAGTTTGTACTTTAAAGTTTGGAGGTGTTTGAAAAGTGTGTGTATTCTTTGTATTTAGACATTAATAAGAGTTCCTTTTTTTTTTTTCCTTTTGCTTCTTTAGATATGGAAAAATAGTCTCCACAAAGGCAATTTTGGATAAGACAACAAACAAATGCAAAGGTATGTTTTTATGGCGGATTATTTGCTAAATCAAAGTGCAGTGGTGGAATTTTAAACCTGATCTTAGGTTTCAAAATTCCTCGCATTTGATTAAAAACCAAATCTTACGTGTCACCCAGTTTCTGTCTTGCACAATATCAGCATATTGCTTACATTTGTTTTTGTCCCTGGTTGAGTTTTGGCTGGAATGTCGACAGCTACTAGCTGTTTGCCAAAACTCCAAATTTGGCACCAGTAGAGTTAACATACAAAATACTAGTTGGCATTTAGCCCCTGCTTTTAAAGGGGGAGTAGAGTTAGAAAATAGCTTTTCTTTCCTGAGCCTTAGGAGATTAGAGCTGCTTACTGAAGACCAGTGGACTGTACTAAAGAACTGAAATGATTACATATTGTGCAAATTGGCTCTATTAATTAGAATAGAGTAGTTTTAAGCAGTACTTAATTACATGTTTCAATACTCCCAATTGTTCTCTGCTGAATGCCTGTTGACAATATTGGCAGCAGGGAGGAGAGAACCATTTTCACTGACCAAATTTATAATAGGGAGGGGAGGTCATGTGCCCCTTTGAAATATGCTGCTACGTTAATTTGATGCACTGACCTTCAGTTTTCCGCGTAATTAGGATGAGCTCATCCGGCTCTATGAACTGGAAGAGGAGATGTCTACAGTAGGCAGCACTGATGCTTTGCAGTTCTGACTTTTAATGATCTAGCATCTTAACAATGGGCATGTGATTTCTAGGAAAAGGGAAGAATGGAGTCAGCTGACTTTGAATCTAACTACTGACCCCATGAATTGAAATAAGGTTGACAGGAATAGGCAGAGAGCAAAGGCAAATCTCCTCATTAATTAGACCCTAGTTTTTCAAGTAGTGCTGAGGGGGTAGTGGCTTAACACAATCTGAAAAAGGCAGCGAACATAAATGAACCCTATGGTAAGGCCTCTTCTTGTGAGCCAGCCATTTCCTTTAATCTAGACTTGAAGTGGCTCATTGTATTCCTGTCTGTTCTTCAAAGTGCCCAGATTTAAAGGAGCTATTGTGGCAAATATCTAAGCCCATGTTTAATCAACATGGCACATTAAGGCAGTTTTGCCTTGGGACAGTGAATAGCATGTGCTTTATGTAGAGTGGCATCCAATAAATATTTAAAATGAATTAAGCTAGAGAGAGTCGAATTGTAGACCTAAATGCATACACTTAGTTGCCAAGATTCATCTTATTTAACATTTATAAATGATTTGGGAGCAGAAACACAGAAAAAAAGTCTTTGGGTTTTATAAAGTAAAATAGATTCTTGCAGGCATAAAACAGAAAGCCGATCTCAAACAGTAGTTTCCAGTGGAGAGAGGCGGCACAGTAGATAAGTGCCTTGAGCCTTAGCTTTATCCTACTTCCTCTCCTATCTTTCTTCTACCCCAAGAGAAATTCTCCATGGCAGATCAGTTTGCTAACAAGCAGAGCTGCCTTCATTAAGTGAGGAAGTGGTCTAGAGTCCTCCCGGTTGAATTCTCTTCCATACTACTCAATGAAAACCACTAGTGTACATTCTTCTCCAGTGTAATGTATTATCTAACTTTATCATCCTAGTAGCTAGAGCAAAAATAGAAAACATAACTATTCCCATGATTCAAGGATTACACTGTGGGGGCGAGATAAATGTAACTATTTCTGGTTCTGGGACCTGACAAGAATTCTCCCAGGAAACCTAGGGAGAGGATGATGCTATCTTACTTAGTGAGATAGCACAAACCCCACCTTCAAAGACACCTTTGTACACACTTATACAGTGAAGTCCATAGACCCTACATAATTCATGTTTTATATGGTCTTGAATTTTTCTAATATTACATAGACAGTATGAAAGAGCTCAAGGTTGTATGCTTACCTGTTACGTTTGTTTTCAGCAAAAGGTTATGAAATGTTATAGTAGAGTAGGCTTCAGCAACAGCTCGAAGAGGACATAGACAGTTAACTAAAATACAACAATTATGTATTTCTCTTAATAAGAAAATAACAGATAAAAGAATGCTCAGATTCCCAGGATAGATCACGGCATCAAGTAAATAACATAATTGAGATCTCCTTACTGTAATTTATTAACAGTAGCAAAAGTGGTGGGAAAATTTTAAACATCCATCAGTAGAGCTGTGTCATTTCCGTGTTAGCCAGCTGTTCGTGTGTGCACTGTAACAGTGGGATGGACTACATGTGCCTGTGTGTCCATAGAGTATTACATATTAGCTTTAACAGCAGCTTTCTAAATAGCACCCCAAACATGTTTAACCTGATTGATAACGTTGCTGCTGAGTAGCATTCTGTGCTTTGGTGTGGATCATCCCCCTCCTTTTTCTCCCCCACCTGGCTGTTCCTCTGCTGTCTAAATCAAATTAAGTCTTGTTTCAGCCCAATTCCAAGTCACGTAAGGAAGCTGCTGCATGTTTCTGCTTTAACATTCGTCTCTCCTAGAGTATCTGTTTCTGTAATCAATAATCTACTCTGTTTCATTGCAACTTAGTGTGTTACCAGGCAGTATTTTTAGTATTAATGCTGCAGAACTGACTAGACTGTTTCAGAGACCTTGAGTTTGACTTTGTCGCTATATATTTGTGTATTTTGACACTACCACCATATTATCTAAATTACTACTTCTTCATAGTGTCTGGAAATCAATGATAGAACTAGCTCCTCTTGCGATGTGCTTTTCTTTTTCAAAATATACTTACTTATTTAAAATTACTTTTGTAATAATTGATTTCAGTTCAAAGAAAATAACTTTGATAATTTATCTGAGATCCTGTTCTTTTAAACCATGTATTACATACTACAACCATTCCTCAGTAAGTTAAGAGTTATCATAGTGAAAAATCTGTGACTGTTTCATTACAACGGTGTTTATGTGATCTGTTGAGAGGCATGGGTCTGTTTGCACTGTGCTGTGCAAGTTCTGTTCTTTGTATAGTTTTTCTCTTTTATGACTTACTGGTTTTCGCTGCTGGATGCCACCCATGTGCTTATTTCTCAGCCCTATCCTCAGCCCAGGTCCCATTGTCCCAATTTCCTGTTTCGATTTGTTAGCTGAGAAAACAGATAACCAGCTCATTAAAAACTATTTGGGAAACTATACGTAAATAAACTGTAAACCACAGCCTCTCTTAGGTGGTTGTTTATTTTGTTCTGTTGCATTTTGTTTTCAGACTTTAAGGCATGAACTGCCCAGACAACTCTTTTGGAGGCATTTTCTTTCTTGTCTTCCTTATTTAGAAGGAATGTGATGAGCTGTATTTTAAGTAAATAAGGACGTTTGAGTAGGTACTAAAATTTAGATTATATTGTAGACACCTAGTGGTTGTGTTATTTTAATTTTGAAAAGCAAGCTTTCGTCTACCAAATGAACATCATTTTTGTTGCTGTCATTTGGCAGCTTGGTAGGATGGCTTCATCGTTGTTGCCATATCATCAAGAACACTGTTTCTCTGAAATTATTTCCTGTTCACACCACCGCCTTATTTTAACCCTTGATTGGAAGCTTAGATATTTTTCGCTAGTAATTGCAGCACACCTGAGAAGATTCTGAATAGGAAAAAGCTGTTCTCGCCCACCACCCCACATTGAAAGGAGGCTTGTTTGGTGGGGACAGATGGCAAGGAAGAAGACCCAGGAAAACCACTAGATGGCAGCTCTGAGCGCCTGACCTCTCTGGAGACATTTTCCTTTCTGTTGCCTGCTTCAGAATCCAAGTGAACTCATTTTTGTGCCCTTTATGTCATCATAAAGGAATGGTGTAAAATGAAATGTACTTTGCCTTTCAGGTTATGGTTTTGTCGACTTTGACAGTCCTGCGGCAGCTCAGAAAGCTGTGTCAGCCCTAAAGGCGAGTGGGGTTCAAGCCCAGATGGCAAAGGTGAGTGGGGAGCTTTGCTTCTAGCACCTGACCCAGTTGCTGTCCCCAACCCTGTCTGCATTTGCCACTCATCCCCACCAACCATGGTTCCTTTTGGACATCAGTCCCGTGCCTCCGAGAACTCAGCAGTGTTGATTGTGGCAAAGACTTATTTATTTCTCATAATTCAATGTGTGAAGAATTTAAAAATGTATACATTTTACATGGTAAATAATATAACCATATAAGCAAATGGAAAAGTAGCATGAAATTTTTCTCAGATAATCAGGTATGTAGAAATCTTTAAGATCTCTACTGTTTTCTAAAAAAAAAAAAATTTAAAAGTTCAGTGCTCAAGGAATAAATCCATTTTAGATAAAGTGTAAAAGGTAAGTGTTCACAGCACCTGTCTCTTCTTTCTTTTTCTTTTCCTAGTAGTAGAGATTGAATGCAAGGTCCCACACATGCTAGTCAAGTGTTGTACCACTGAACTATACCCAACGCTGCCCCCTCCTTCTTTTTTTAATTTTTAATTTGAGACTGGGTCTTAAAGTTGTTCAGGCTGACCTCAAAAATCACAATCCCACTGACCCAGCCTCCCAGTTAGCTCAGGTTACCAGCATGCACCGCAGTGCCTGGCTAGAATGGCGTGGTTGGAAGGAATGTGTGACTGTCACGTACATTGATATACACACACAAATGCATAGTTTATAGTACTACTTTTCCCTACATAATAGATATTTTTCCACATTATTTATGGGATATAAGTCTACTCTTTAGCAGTTCTACAAGCACTTTATTCAAGACTTGTTTCTGATGAACTTTTGCATTCTAGATGAGGAATATTTCTGAAAAATTCTCTAGGTAAGAAATATGCCTGACTGTTCAAGTATTACAAAATGAATACCATAAGTTTTATGCTTAATATGTATTTTAGCACAGTACATATGAATGTTAACTATGCTAGGACATAACATTTTCCTTAAACATTTTTGTCTTATGACAGTTTTCTTCTAAGATCGTATCTAAACTCCAGAATATCATAGTTTAGGAATATTAATGAAGTTGGCGAGCCAGTCATTGTCCTTCTCTTCACATTAGGTTCATTATCTAAGTTAGACAGTTTAAGGTGCCTGTTCCCTTTTTCAAAAGTCAAGATCCTTAAGTCAATTTGATGAACTCAGATAAGCTGGCCTTGCATGATCTAAAACCAGTGAAATCATAATTCTGAATCTTGTGCACCTCCAACCCACTTTCAAATAGGAATGATCTTTTTTATGAAGAACTGAGATTCAAAGAAGAGAATGACCTTTGAATTGGCTTGCATCTTTTAAGTGTTTATGGTCTATAATAGACGTTCCATTGTATACTAAACACAGCTAGGAATACATCAGCTAAACTGCTACTTATGTTTCATCTTTATTGCCCAAATGTAAGCTTGGATTATATCCTAATACATAGTACCTACAGTACTAGAAGATATTTACATGAAGATACTTATATAACTATGGAGCTGTTTCCCCCATCTTTGGTTCTTCAATTGCTATGGGAAATATTTTCAAGCCTGAAACTTAGCATTTGGCTATTTTGAGTATTATTTTCAAAAGAGCAATAATTTTATATTATTTGGTTTCATGAAGTAGAGGGAGAAATAATCTTATACTCTCCTCTGCTACTTGTAAATAGCAGTACATGATCATTTCCTACAGAACATTCACATATCCATAAGGAGATTTATGGAAGGTAAAGAACTCTACCCAAGAGATAAACTACCTGCTAAGACCTAAGCCATACCAGCTTAGGGCTATTGAAGAACATGTGTGAAGCTACCAGGATAGAGATTTGCTTCAAATAAAAGGATCAACATAAAGATTTCAAGAATTCATAAATGCAATCCCTTTTCTAAAGTATTTCATGCCCTATAATATATTTGAAGCTTCACATTGAATTGGACTTACTTTGGATCTTCTTAAACTCCAGAGTAGAAGTAAAGCAGAAATTATAAATAGTAAATATCATGTTTTTCAGATTATTTACCCCTCAAAGAGAAATTTCTTGTAGTAGTGTTGAAAAACAGTGAGATTTTAAATATATTGTTAATAAGCTCTGTATAGCAGTTGGCAAGATGTTTAATCTAGCTCTGTAAACCAGGCATTCTATAAGCAGAACTCAGGACTTGTTCAGAAAACGAGTCTTTCGTCCTCCACTCTGCCTATCCTAACTCGCTCTGCCTATCCTAACTCACTGTGCCAAGCTCCTGCTTTCTCTTTCAAAATCTAGGGCAGGTCCTATGACTTCTTTGGCCACTCTCATTATTTCACAAAGTCCCTTGCTTTCCTGTCAAATTTTGGGGGTTTTGAGGGTTTTCGTTCAGCTTTGTTTGATTTTGGTTTTGGTTTTGGTTTTGGTTTTGGTTCGGTTGGGTTTACATATCTTCATAGAATGTGGGTATCTTTCAGTATATTTTCAGCCCCTTAAGTCTGTATTTACATTATTCAGCCTCAATATACTTTAAGCAAGATGTTGTATTGAAAAAGCTTCAAGTTACAAGTACATTTCAAATACAGTGTCTAGAATGTTGCAATCATGTGCAGAGGTTTTTGGAAACTGCTGAGAGTCCACAGAAAGGATGTGTGCCTTGGACGTTGCTTGTGCATACTGTAGCAATTATTTTCTGATGACTATATTGAGCGTTTGGTGAACAGGTCAGGAAGCAGTGTTTTTATGTTTCCCAGCATGATTTATTATATGTATATGTTCACACACCAAGAAGTTATAAATGTATTTAGTTACATGTTAGGGATTTGTAGGGAAAGAAATTTAGTTACAGTTTGGAAGATTGGTCGGGGTTGTGACCGATGTGTAATACTTTATTTTTTCTCCTTTAAAATAATATGAAATATGTTCACATTTTGATGCTGAATATCTGCTTTTCAAGAATAGATTATTGATACTGTAGTGTGCTTGTAATTTCAATGTCTAAGCCTATTTATTTGACAAAAATTGTGAGTATTCACATAACAATAAAACTTATCCCTTCCCCTAGGTCAGGAAGCTTATAGTAGAATGGGCATTTTTTTTTTTTCTTTTCTATTTCCAAAGCATGTATTCTTTCTACTCTTCCATCAGCTCCCTGGCTATGGTTTCTAACATCTCCATGATTGAAGCAGTGAAGAAGGATAGGAAGGTTTGTTGACCTGAGAACGATGTAATGGGATGTTGATTTATATGGCCAGGCACCAAGGTGATACTTTCTCTCATGAAATGCTTCAGATATTTTTTTGAGCTTTCTCCCCAGTCTCCTTCAGTCCCTTGAAGCTAGAGAATACTGTCCTTGGGCTCACCCCTCAGTTTCTGATAATGAAATGGCTTGTCTTCAGCCAGTTCTCCCTGCCTCTCCCGGGTAATCTTCCTCCACACATAATGCGGGGCCAACTTCCTGTATGACCTTCTTCAGATCTACCTTTGCCAACCACTTCTAGGACAGCAGTTATTTCCCTACCACACTAGTAAACCCCTTCAGCTAGGCTTTCTCCTTTTAGACCACTCATCCTTGGAGATGGACATGAACCCTCAGGACACAGGAATGAGTGGTCAGCCAACCATCCCAAACCAGTTTTCAGCCAGCTCCTGGTAGGCCCTCTTAGATGGTCTGCTTTCCTACTTTGAGATGTGAGAGCACCTGGCCCCCACTTTTTTGTAGCCTTTGCTGAAATAGAGATAGAAAGAGGCCTTTTAGAGTAGTACCCTGAACACTTACCTAGGCCTTATTTCCAATACCTGTAATATTGAGCAGCATACTACAGTAGGTATATACTTTTGAAGATGATTTTACAGTCCATCTAGTTAAAATGAGACTGGGTATGGATTGGCACTCTATGACATGTCATGGGTGCTCTGTGAATGCCAGCTTCCCGTGAGTTGATAATGAGCACTGTTCAGAGACCTCCGTAGTAGGCTTTATGTTGTAAATTGGCTAGCAGAAATGATCTTCTCTTCTGTCATCTGTGGGGAAGACCAGTGTGCAGGTTCAGAGATGCTGGCAATGTGCCAGCGTTCTGCAAATACAGATCTCTTCAGGCCCCTAGAGAATGACTTGTTTCTTGGATCTGATTTCTTTTTTATGATATCTTTAAAGTTATAAGATACATTTTAAATGCTACTACATCTCTTGTTCCCTACCATAAAATCATGGATTTAAGTGTCTGGACTTGTTTAACTTTATGCTGTCTGGATAAAGGAGCACCTAGTCCTTAGGTTTTGGAGATACTATTTTTAAAGGAAGTTAAGTGGCGCCCCTGTGGTTGGGACCCATCACTGTCCACTTTCCACTACCGAATTAATCTTATAGTGTGCTGAAAATCCCACATATTAAAGTCTTGTTTTCTTAAGTAATCAGAAAAAAATGAAGGAGCGTTTACTTGCGGAAAAGTAGAAATGTAGTGTTGTTTGACACATTAGTTAGCTGGGTTGAGAAATGACCCCACAGATACTCAAAGCTGAATTTCAGAATTGCTAGTGAAAAGCGTTAGAGACCAGTAATATTGTTCCTCATTCGTGTTTTAGTTTTCAGTGCCTTGTTTATACCTGCCATAAATAGGTAATGTATTTGTTTTGTTGCTAATCAAAGAAATCAGTTAAGAGAGAGGAAAATTTTTAGACAGATACTGAAAATTTAAAAAGGGATATTTTAAAAATATGTCCATAGAGTATCCCAACGAAGAAATTTATCCAATAAAAATGGTCTTGAGCCTTTTGGAAAGCCCATTTATGTTAAATTTGGCTGATGTTTCAAATGTGTGCATTGTCAAATAAAAGACCCAGGTTCTACAAAAAGAAAAGAAATGAAACTCAGATCACAAGATAGAAAATATAAAATGTGGATCAACATTGATGATACCTGTTAACGGAAAGAGTTCTACAGGCCTTGGGTACCTAACCCTTGCTGGGGATCAACAGATCTTTGGGTGTATTTGGCTCGTGGTAAGCTCACTCATTTTCCTAATAAATAGGCAGTCAAACAAGCGGGAATTTAATCTCCCCTCCGCTCCAAGGTCCACCATGCGCCAAGCAGTGTGCAGTCACATGCCGGTTGGTGAACTTATTCAGTACAAGAGAAAACAGATGTCTGCTCTTCCTGCCAAGTCCCTTTCTTGCATTTTAGGAACCATTCCACACGCACAGGGAGGTTTTTGTTAATTTCTTTCAGATGATGTCTTGAGTGCTTTACACCATGTGGGACCTCTGCGCCCTGCTTTTCTACTCAAGTGAACATTAGTAGCCGTTTATCCCCTCTCACGGCCAGTGCGGGCTCTAGTTTTCCACTTGTTAGAGAAGCCCTTGAACCTTCTGTGCCTAGGGACATAAAGAGTCCTGATGGCCCTACTTTTGTTTGGACCACTTATAACTGACAGAATAACTTTTTTTCCAGACATGGCAACTTATTATTCAGACATAATAAGGCAAAATTACCGTTGTCACTGGTTCTAAAGAAAGTAAATTATCCTTATTGAAAAACACTACCAGTGACTTCAAGGATTATATGTCCCGTTCGCTACGAGTGTGCATTAATGAGAATGCATGGACACCTTGGGGATTAGGTATTTTTGTGGCAAGTGCAGCCAGTTTAGCGTTTCTCCCCATTCCTTTGTGTTTTGTTTTGTTTTTAACATGAAGGTTGTTACAACACTGTGAGCAATGCTTGCAGTGCAGGTTGGGCAATTGGAAAGAAAGGTAATAGCATTACCTCCAGTGGTCCACCCACCTGAAGAAACCTGACAGGACTGTTGATAGCAAAAACAAGTGTGGGGGGCTGGGGATTTAGCTCAGTGGCACAGCGCCTGCCTGGCAAGCGCAAGGTCATGAGTTTGACTCCTGGTACCGGAAAAAAACCAAAAAACCAAAAAATAAAAAAAAAATTTAAAAATTAAAAAATAAAAACAAGTGTGGAAAAAAAGTAGGAAATGTTTACGTTGTATTAGTCCACTCTATCTCATTATAGCCAAGAATAGTTTAAGAGCTCAGTTTCTTTTTAGATTTTTCTGTTTCTTTCTGATTTTTAACAGTTTTAAAATTTGTGTCTTCATTGGTAAATTTTCACATTAAATCAAATTTTGTAGAATGTGTAATTTTTTAGTATTTTAACAACAGAAACAACTAAAATGTAGGTCTAGGAAGTAGTACCTACATTGTTACCTCCTTTTAAAAAATAATATATAACAATTTTTTCCTATGAGAGCTCTTAAGTATTAGTTACTGAAGTCTTCATAACTATGATTTAAAAAGAAAAAGTCATGGTATTTTAATATATGTTTGTTATGTAACATTTTTCTTGTTATATCTGTGCCCATTGAGTATTTTAATAACCTTTAACTAAGGAATTCCCAGGTTGATTCCGAATCTGACTAAGCATGATTTAGAAGTATTTCCAAGATAGAGTTGATTGTGTCACTCCTTTGCCTCCAGAGCCTTCCTGCTTTTCACACTGTGGCTTTCAGATTGCCACTCCTTCCTCCTTCCTCCTCCTACTCACTCATCTCTCAAAAGATGCCAAATCAGGAGACACATGTGACTTATCTTCCTGAAGTATCAATGTTGCTTGATGGTGTTAGGTCAGAAATACTGTTTATTAAAAACAAACTCTAATTTTGAAATAATAGATTAGTTAACATGCCCTCCCATCTCTTTTTTTCCTTTTCTTCTTCTGGGTTTTTGTTGTTGTTGTTGTTGTTTTGTGTTAGAGTTTTTAGCATAAGACTTCCAGGAAACTTTGCAGTTCAGGCAAGGCTGCTTTGCCTTTCCCCACAGACCCCTCGGGACACATTCGTTCTCCATGCTCTTAGTGCTTGTTCAGTGAGAAATAAGCAGCAATGCCTGAAAAAAATAAACTCCTCAAACAGCCTTTCACAGTGGGTTGCAACCTATTGACCTCTGCTTGTTTCTTAAGTCTCTTGTCCTCTGAACAAAGTGTCCCCTCATCTCCCTACAGGAATTATCCTCTCTCTGTTCTCCCATGGTGATTTTCAGGACCCAGCCTTTGCTACCTGTGTTTCTGTCTCAGCTGTTTAACCTTAAGTGGCCAGGAATTAGGACTCAGGTCATAGTCATTTTACAACAACAGGTGGAGATGTACAAGATGCACTGGAAATGTCCTTGAATGAAGCCGAAAGTCCCCTCAGGGCCAACTTTAGGGAGGAAGGACTCTGTTTGTATTGGCTGGTGCAGGACCAGATTTGCATAGTAAAAAGTACCCTCTTGCACTTTAAGGAAAGCTTTAGAGACTTGGAAGTTACCGGCAGATGAGATGCTAATCAGGGAACCGCAGGGAACCGCACGGGGGGTGGGGGTGTGCAGGAGTAGTTGAAAGAAGAGCAAATAAAGTGGAAATGAGGGCCTGAAAGACTCCCTCTTCACCCGCCTCAGAAGAATTTGAAAATTTTCAAACCTAAAATAATTGTTCCTGCTTTTCCCTCCATTTTGAAAACTGTATTATCGTCCTATATCTATTAAATCACTTGTTCATTGTAGACATTAAAGATATATTATACAGAATTGACAATAAAAGGTTTTGCTAAGCATAAAGTAATTGGTGGTACCACACTGAATTTACCTAATTTCAGCTAAAAGCAAAAATAGTTGCCATTTTTGTTCAGCATATGAATGGCTTATGAGCATGTTCAGCTTACTGTTGAGCATTTGAAAAATTCAATTCTTTGCTTGGACCTCCTGGTGACCCCTGAGGGCCTGGAGCAGCCAGTGCTCGGAACCTTTCTGAGAGATCTGGCTGAACACAGCCTTCCTCTGTCAGGTCCAAGGGGTTGATGGGGACAGTACTTGTTGCATATAGTTCTTGGTCTTTGAGAAATTTAACCCTTAGAAATAGAAGGGCGTTTGCTGTTCCCTATGCCAGATTGTTGTTTATTTATTTATGTACTTATTATGGTGCTAGGAGTCAAACCCAAGGCTTCAGACATGCTAGGCAGGAGATCAACCACTGAGCTAGCCTCCCCCAACCATCCACAGATTATTGTTTAAGTTTGTCTTACCAGCTAAGCATAGCACAAAAGGTCAGTGTACGCTTTTATTTGCAGATTATTTAAAGGAAAACTTTTCATTGCAGGTTAGTGCTAGGATACACTGGAAAGACTTTATACAAATTCAGGTATATATTTTTAAAGCACCATATATTTCAGAAATCTGGAAAGTTACAATGAGTGTGCTGTTCCATTACTGAAGGCTGAATGATCAATTAATGACTTTACAAATAGTGCTTATTGAAGAAAAATCCTAAGCTCTCATATGGTTCAATATGTAAAGATACAGTTTGTTTATAAGATCAAAGGAAAGGCTGATTTTGAATTCAGTCTGTGCTAACCTCACAATTGCAGAGGTGAATTTGTACTTGGTCAGATTATATCAGTAGTCAGGAAGGTTTTCTCTGAAGATTTGAATACTATACTCTTCATAAATGTATAAAAGTACATTTAGTATATAGTATATACTCTTTTATAGTATGTACTATACTCTTTTATAAAAGTTCAGCCTTTCCAGTATTCTAAATTGTGCCCTGCCCAGAGCTCATCATTTTATACAGCTTTGATGTTCTTGTTTGGGTTATTAGCAGTGCCCCTTTTTCTTCGATGATCAGTACTCAGAAGTAATGTAGGCTCTGCCATAGGGCAGAGCAGAGCAGTTTGCACAAAGCCTGCACTGGACTTCACATGATTTGATCCAAAATCCTTCATGTATCTCTAAACTTAATTATTAGTCATAATAGCCTCCTGGGCAATAGTGTGCCCGAAACAGGCTCCTAAAAATAGCAGTGGAAGAGAGGTTGGTTATTTTTGGAAACACTACAAACTACTAAGAGTTGTGGTGTCATGAGGGCATCTTCTCCAATTCAGTGGTACCTGCTAGCAGTGTTACTTCCACATCTGCTGGGAAGAGTTCTGGAGGATCATGTCTGCCTGTCCAGACTGTCCAGACTTCAGACACTGTCATCGAGTGTCCAGCATGACCTGGGTATTCTGTGGACCACAGGGTCTCACTAGGTAGTACTGTAAAAACACAGCAAAGGACATGTCTGTATAAAAATAAGTGTTTTAATACAAATATCTTCACTTCTCTTGGAAATTGATGACAATTTTCTGTTCTGCTTTAGCAACAGGAACAAGATCCTACCAACCTTTATATTTCTAATTTGCCACTGTCCATGGATGAGCAGGAACTTGAAAATATGCTCAAACCCTATGGGCAGGTTATTTCTACAAGAATATTACGTGATTCCAGTGGTACAAGTCGTGGTGTTGGCTTCGCCAGGTAAGCTTACTGCCCTCGCTATTATATCAGTGATAGTAACTCTGCTGAGTTAACTTAGAAAATAAAAATTGATCAATTAAAAAAAAAATTTGGCTAGGGTTATGGGATCCAGTTGCACCATGAACTCATGTCATGTGTAAGTTTACATGTAAAATTTCCCAAATCTTTTACATGTTCATTAGGATTCCTGACCTGAGTACATTCAGTCTTGGTTGGGTCATGCCAAGAACCTATCACATGAGAAATAGCTCTGAAAGTATGTGTCCTTATATTTGATTAGTTGGGATCCTTCTAACTTTTTAAAAATGACAATAGGTCTCCTAAATTTCATAGGTAAGTAGTATGTTTTTTTTTTCCTTGAGGTAGAAGTATGAATTATCATCAATAAAGTGAATTAAGTTTTTAAGTTAACTATTTCAAACATTTTAAGAAGACAAAAATATCACACCTAATCACTACATTAATTTAACAACTATTAACATTTTACAATTCTTGCATCAGTTTTTTTAAAGAAATAAATGTTCCAATTAATTTTTAATGTCTTCCTTCCCAGAAAAGATGCTTGAGTGCAGTAGCTAATTTGGTTTCTAGAGGAAAAGTATTAAATAGAAAAGTTTTGATTTGGGGCACAGTTCTAAACCTAAAGTCCATCTGTAAAGGTTGATTTTACATGATGCATGTTTTAGGAGTTTATTAATACTGTATAGTGGCAGATGGTGTCTGCATGTTTTAAATTATTAACTTTGGTTTTGGGGGAAAGCATGATGACATTTTACTCTAATATATACATGGTAATTACATCTTACACAGAACTGTGATAGCAACAAAGCATTATTATTATTATACATTAATATCATAATTGAGACACAAAAGGGTCCTTCCCATTGTCACCTGGCTGCAAGTCATAGCAAGTCCTACTTGTTTCTTCTGACTTTTAGTCTACTGCTCTGATAAGCTAGGGGATTTTATAATAAAACTAAAATAACCTATCAGTACTAGTCACAAAGGCCAGCATCTCCACCATGCACTTTGTTGGTTAAAAGAATCCAGGAGACGCTGAATGACTGACATCTCTTTGCTTCTGTGGGTGTCCTTCTGAAAGCAGATCAAATGGTGATTTCTGTGCCTAATGACAGAACCCAAGTAAATTCTATTGCTTATAAAACTATCACTGTCCATTCAAATTGAGGTGTGACTCTGTGGTCATCCAGCAGCATACTATATTTTTAGTAATTATTTTGTGGATTCTTTTTTTTTCCTATTAAGTAGAACTAAATCCAAATAATCTAAATCCTCAGAGATATCTCTCAAATGGATTGGGCCACCTATAGATATAAAATAAGTTGTAAAGTTAAGTTACATTCTTTAATTTCTCCTTCAAAGTCAAGATGACAAAGAAGATACATAGTGGACTTTACAGATTTAATTTTAAACCTGACATGAATGTAAAAAACATGTAAGGCACATCCTGTGATTGACACTAGCTTTTGCCATTACTCTCTAATCTGTCATTTTATAAATTCAGAACAAGAAAGACCATGTGTAAAATAACTAATATTCTAGTAGGTAGGAAATGCATTCATGTGTTAAACTATTGTTTTTAACTCAGTATCAGCACTATGAAGCAATTATGTATTTATTTCAATTTTCCAACAATTAGACTAAAATTATACATTTAGTATGCTTAATATTAAACACTCTGGATATGCTTTGTTTCCTTTATGATGGAGAATGTACTCTAGGGTTAGGTATTTTACTGTAGGAAATATAAAAGAGCAGTTAAATGAAGGAATAAACTGTCATATTTACTAAGTCTCTTTGGTATCCAAAACATCTAAAAGAGTACTTGTACATGCACAGAATAATACTGAAAGTGAGAGACCTCTAAATAGTCATATTTTTTTCTTACAAATAGGATGGAATCAACAGAAAAATGCGAAGCTGTAATTGGTCATTTTAATGGGAAATTCATTAAGACACCACCAGGAGTTTCTGGTAGGTTGTTTGTCTAAAGTTTTATCAGCAGTCTTTTATGTAATGTTTGTATAACTTTAGCACATGATGGCTCTTATATTAAGAGCAAAACTCTCATTTTCCTTTTTAAAATGTATTTCTTCTTGTCAACAAATACGATTTAAACTTTTACCCCTTTCCGGGCCCTGGATTTGTGAGTATTATCTGCAGCAGGCCCAGTGCTAAAGCATAGCAGCTTCTGCTCCCCTTTGAGGTGTCAGCCATCTTGAACCTACCTCTTTATTGTGCTTGGGAAGCCTCCCATCGGGCACATCCATGGAGCAGAATGGTATCAAGAATACCACACCTCAGACTTTTTCATGCCAAGGCCACATTCACTGTCCCTCCCAGGAAGGCTGATCTGAAATAAAGAGTTCCTCCACTGTCACTGTTTCTTGGCCCTGTTTCTTTACCTGTTTCCTATCTCTACAAAATCTAGTCCCCGTTTTTGAGCACTAAAACCATTTCTTTAGCAACAGCCTTAGTTGTCTTAGACACCAGCGCCTGGTGACTTCTGCCTGGATTGATCATGAGCACTCCACTTTCACAGCACCTGTGACACCTGGTGGCTAAAGGTTGTCACCATGGCAGATTTGTGTCTTTAGCTTGCCAGGGCCTCGGCACCACTGGGGCTTACTCTGATCTTCCCACTCCCTCCCCACTTCAGTTCTCCTTGTCACCAGCCTGTGTGGACCCTGCCCTAGCTCTGAGCTGGGGACTCTACTTCCCCTGTGGTGAACAGAATTGAGATCACCAGGTAGAAGCACTGTCACCATGCAGCCCCTCGACATGGGGCCCCACCCCTGCACCCAGCCTTTCTCCTCTCCCTCCTTGAAGCTCAAGGATAAGCATGCGGAACCATCTCTGAGGCCGCATTCTCTGGGGATCCTTTTCTACGTGCTAACACCTCCCTCCTGTATAATTCCAGTCTCTTTCTTGTGAGACTACTCATCCCTATCTCTCCAGGGTGAACCAGTCCCGAGAACGAGGTGCCTGTGGATGAATAAGAAAAGTAAAGAGAGACGAGAAAAACAAGAGAGCCAAAAGTCTGAGATCACGGGGCTTACAGCCTCTCAGACTGCCCTCCTCCCATACCAATTTCCGTCACCTTTATTGAGCGAGAACCAAGGGCATAGCTAGTACAGATGGGCGGATACCAAAAAATGTTTTAGCAAGGATAGCTCAAGAATTACCCTTCCCCACATGAGATCCAAGACATGCCTATAATCCCAGCATTCAGGAGGCTGAGACAGGAAGATTGTAACCTCAAGGTGAATCCATGCTGTATAATAAAGCCTTATCTTAAGAAACTGTTTAACAAACCATTGTGTCCTCAATGCATTCTAATCAAAGAATGTCCTTCTCCACACTTTCTTTTGCTTGAATTCTTTTTTTTTTTTTCAAACAACACCAAAAACTTCTTTTCAATGAGTAAAACAACAGATCTCTGGCAAGACTAAATGTTCAGGAAATGAAAGAAAATAACACAAAAAGTACTAGGAACAAAAGAATATGACCATAACTATAGTAGACATTTTTAAAACCACAGAATTCAGTAAATGTGTGAGTTACATTATGCCTGAATTTTTTAGAAAAAAATCCTCATTTATGTTTCACATTATTCAGGTTTTTATGATTGAAATTAAAACTCAGTGCAGACCCCTCTCTCCTTCTCATGTAAACATTTTCAAATTATAGTTGTCACTTGTTTCCCACTCACACCTCAGCACTCAGTGTGATACTCGCCCTGAGCCATGCAGTTCATGTTACCAAACTTACTGTATTTGTTTGCTAGGGCAACAAATATAGTAACAAAATAGCACAAACTGAGTGACTTAAACAACAGAACTGTAGCAGCTCAGGTTCTGGAGGCCCTAAGTCCAAGATCCAGGTGAGGTGAAGTTGGTTCCCTCCAAGGGCTGTGAGGGAATGGCATGTTCCAGGCCTCTGTGCGTGGCTTGGCGGTGGCACCCTTGCCTGTGCGCCTTCTCATGAGCTTTCCTGTGTGTGTGTGTGTGTGTGTGTGTGTGTGTGTCACGTGCATGCGCACCCTCATCTCTGGTCCGGGTTTCCCCTTCTTCTGAGGATACCAGGCATAATGGATGAAGACCCACCCTAATGGCCTCATTTTAACTTCGAAGATCCTGTCTCTAAACAAAGTCACATTCTGAGTTACAAGAGGATTAAAGCTCTAACGTATCTTTTACGTTTTGAGGGATTCAGGGACCACACAATTCAGCCTGTAACACTTACCTCCTGATTATTGAACCCAGAGGTTTTGTCTTTTTCTGTGTTGTCTGTCTTATTTAGAACTGCTTATCCTTCACTCATCTTTGAATTGTGTCCTCTTACCCCATTTCTGTTTTCTTGTATTCCTTCTCTCTTGTGAACTAGCTTCTTTGACCTACTCTTAATTTTTTGGTATTTTCCTGAATTCCGTATTCGGCTGACAATGCTGATAGATTTCATTTATTCTCGAGGCTTCCATTCTACTTAAGACGGCCACAAGATACTCATGTCTGCCCACGCTTTTCCCCTGAGTATCAGCCTGCCTGGCCTCAGACATTTACGTTCATCCTCTCCAAAACTAAATTAGTCTCCCCTCCCATCAAATCCTGTCTTCTTCATCTTGTTAGCGGTACAGTATCCACCCAGGTACCCACACCAGAAAGCTGGGACTGGACTCCTCCAGTCACCACTTCCATCTCTCACATACAAACAGCCATTCAAGTCCTTATACTTTTCTTCTGATCACATCTGGACTCTGCCCTCTTCCTCCGTTTTTTCCTGTCACATCCCAGTTTCCTCTTATCTTTCACCTAGGCCATGACAGCAGCTCTTGATTGCCGCTCTGTCTAATCTTAAGTCCCTCAGGTAGCTCCTGATTATAGCAAAAAATATTTACATAAAATAGACACTTCTGTATCACTTTTCTGCTAAGTCATCTCTCCACCTGCAGAAGAAAAGACCTAGGATTCATAGCATGACACTGAAAGCCAAAAGTGACTGGACTCTTGCTTCTTTCATTTATGTGCTCTGCGTTTTCTGCCTTCTTATTTTTCCTTTTCTAGTACTGAACAATGAGTGATATTCAGAGCGCACCACAGTGCATCATTTCTCTTTGCTTTCTCTCTGTGGTTTCTGATGACTTGAATCCATTTGGTTCCCTTTCAACTGGCTGTCTGTGCCTCACCGTACAGGACTCTGTTCATGGCATGCCTTCTCCTTGCAGGGACCTCCTGTGACCCAGTTTGGTTATGCTGTGTCTGCAGAGTACCCCGAGGGTGCTCACCTGGTATCACAGCACTTACTGTGTTTACATGCATCAATCCCCCTAAACTTTAGGTTCTAGAAGTCAGAAACTGGCTTCTCATCTTTCATGTGCATGCTCAGCACAGTGCTTGAATGGTACTAACCAACAACCAATGTTTGTTGGTTTTAAATAAATTTTACTACGTTACAATACCAAGACGGGACTATCTTCTAACAAGCTCACATATGGGGTAAAAATTGAAATGCTTTGTGACTTACAGCCAGCTCCTAGCATGCTGCCTGCCAGCAAAGAAGGAGCCTCAAAATTTAGAAACCACCTCACCTTGCTTTAAAAAAGAGTTATTGAAATGGATGTATGTTTATTACTATGTGTTTCCTACAACAACCATTGAGAATAGTCAATGAATATTCAGTTGGTCACTCATGTATAGCTCTATTTATTTTCTTTAGAAACCACTTTGAAGATACCAAAGTATAGTACAACAACCATTGATAATAACCTACAACCTTTGTCTGTAACTTACTATTATTTGTCTATTTGTTTTCCTGAGAAACTATCTTGTAGATAACAATATGTAAAACAATAACCATTGATAATTTCCTACCACTCTGTAATTCACTAAGCCCCCCATTACTATGTTATCCTTCTTTTACTCTTTAAAATGAAAAAAAAGTTATTGATACTATTAGATGGGGGAAAAAGAGAAAAAACCACATCCATATCTTTTCTCCCACATGATTTTAGTCTTATGTTGCCTGAAACAGAACACCTCAGTTCTGCTTCCCAGTGTGAGATAGAAAGTCTTTATCAGTCCTTGGGTGTTTCATCCAATAGCCCCACTTTTCTACCTGTACCTGTGCATATCCTAGAGTTAAAGTTGGGGTCTCACTAGGTTGGACAGAAGTCTGGAAAGGAGGTTTTTTTACTGTGCTACCGTAGCCAGCTGTACGTGGAGTATTTTAGGACATCAGCTACGCCAATAGGATTTACCCTAAATATTCGTGTTGGGCAGCAGGCGTTTATACTTACCTCTAAAGTGGGCAGGCAACCGCAGGGGCAACCCAGGGGATAAGAAATCCATCAAACAAGTACAGCCCCCTCCTCTGGTAGTATGTTCGGCGATCTCCCAAATTTGTATGTGCAAAAATATGTGCCACTGAAGTAAAGGGATCCAGTGAGTTGAACTTAAGTAGCATAAAATATTGCTCAAGTCCCACCTCCTGAAAGCCAGCACAGAGTCTCTACAGAGCATGAGTCCTGGTTTTCTACACAAGACACCACAATCAAGCACTGAGGTATTTTGAAGTTAGATTAATTCCAGCCAGGAGTCACTGCAGTGGGAGTTGCTCAAAGGCTGTGCACGTGACCAGTGTTCAGTATTTACCCTCCTATAGCTCCAGGGTTTCATTCTGAACTGGATGACTGATGATGATGATTAGGGATCACTTTAATTTTCTGGACCCAGTTGAGTTTCATTTCATAGATGGACTAATTTGTAAGTCTGTGCAGTACCACAGGCTACATTTGATCTTGTAGTGCTAAAACCTGACAGCACAGTGCTTCTGTGGCTATACCTGAAGGTGAATTGTCTAATAGTACAAGTTTGGAGATGAAATATGACCTGGAAGGACAGTATTCCAAAAGAACTCAACCTAGGAGGACAGCCTCCTTTCTGTTTTTCAGGTTAGTTTTATTTTCCCATCAGCAG